AGGTGCTAAGAGGCTCATTGGTGACCATGATTTGGTTGAAATCAACCTTGCCCTTAGCCCGCCTCTCGGTATTCTATAGGTTGCATTTCGGTGAGTGTGCGCTGATATTATACGCTTTAATTCCTCCCTCTCCTTTCCACCATCGGACCACCAGGCACATGGTCAGGGGGTCTTTACTCCTTTGTTGTCAATATTCCACGCATTAAAACCAAACTGTTTGCTTCGACTTTTGTAATGCGTACGGCAAAGGAGTTGCATAATTTGCCGGCGTCTTTCCTTTCCATTCCTTTTTATCTTTCCGTCCGAATACAATTTGGGCATCTTCCAGGCAAGAGTTAATAGGCCTTTGTTATGCTAAAACTGTGCGATTGTACACACACACACACACACACACACACACACACACACGCACACGCACGCACACACACACACACACACACACAAACACACACCCACACACACACACCCACGCACACGCACAGGCACACTCACACGCACACGCACACGCACACGCACACGCACACGCACACGCACACGCACACGCACGCGCACACGCACATGTACGCACACGCACATGTACGCACACACACACACACACACACACACACATGTATGTATACATAAGGCTGCATCACCACTTACCACCATAGATTGTGGTAAATGACTTAATTGTGAATTGAACTTTGAAGTTTATGAGAGTTTTTTACGTGGTAGAGCCATGCTGCAGCTGTATTAGTAGTATAGTTGTGGCACGAATGGGTCGGCTCGACCGGGGTAGGACCACGCTCTCACAGAATACCAGCACAAAATAGCAGCTTAACACTGCTGTGTTTCGTATGGTGAGTGTAGAGAACCGGATACTCTTTTTACAGGAAAAGAGACATTCCTTCTTAGTCCTCACGGGTGACAACGCATCTGCATTTTGATTTGCAAACGAGGATAGATGTAGATGTCTATGGGCCGCAGCTTACCATCTTACCATCAGGTGGACTGTGTGCTCGTTTGTCACCCTATCCTTTAAAAAAAAAGTTAAGTTGGCCTAAGAATACTGTTGCCCTACCTAATATATATTATAAAGTATTATGAATAATTTTTATTTAATTTTTAACTAGACTCAAAGTAATTAAAAGCAATATAAATAATTTTTATTATTAATATTTATATTATTATTATTATGGGGTATTTGTATAGTTTTCTCGTCTGGTTGGGCTGTATAAATATATAATTGTAAATGAAAATGATAAACTTACATAAATATCAATAAAATAAAATAAATACATAAAAATTACATAAATATATAAAAACCCAACAAGATGGAAGCCCTCGGCAGGGGAGACCAAACGGCCGAGGGTTAGGGAGAAAGGGAAAGAAACCGGCGGACGATGCGGGCGGCATCGAGGAGCACCGCCTTCTGCATTTGAGCTTGGAGCGATCCGTCACGGAGTCCCAGTCGCCTCAGATGACCCGAGAGGCTGACTGGGATTAACCCGTTCGCAGAGACGACCACAGGACTAATTTCGGCCGGCAGACCACCCCACATGTCGGTCACCTCGTGAGCCAGGTCCAGATATTTTGTCAACTTATCTGTTTCGGCTTTCACGAGGTTCTCGTCATAAGGAATGGTAATGTCGACCAAAAATATCCTTGACTGTGCCCGGTCCATCAGCACAATATCAGGCTTATTCGCAAGAATAGTCCTGTCCGTGATGATGGCCCGGTCCCAGTAGAGCCTGGCGCGGTCATTTTCGAGCACGGCTTCCGGCAAGTAATTATAATATGGCAGTTTCCGATCCACGAGACCGTATTTCAGAGCGAGCTCCTGGTGTAGAATCCTGGCTACTAGGTTGTGTCTGTGCAAATACTCAGAGTTAGAAAGCGCCGAACAACCGGAGATGACATGCCTAAGTGACTCACCGGGATGGCGACAAGCTCGACAGATGTCGACGGCGCCATCCTTTAGGATGTATTTCCGATAGTTGTTGGTCTTAATAACCTGATCCTGTATCGCACAGACAAAACCCTCGGTTTCCCCAAAGAGGTCACCGAAACGTAGCCAGTAGAGGGAGGCGACTGTGTCTACGCAAGGCTCATGTAGAGCCTTGTAGAACCTCCCGTGGAGCTCCTTCTCCTTCCATACGGTCTCCCGGTCGGAAATGCTCTGTACTGCCGGGTCTTGCCATTGCTCGTTGGCTAAGGATAGAGGGGTAAGTCCTTTATCACAAGAAATAACGTCCCTATAGAATGGATCATCCGCTCTCGTCAGAAAGTAATTACGGAGGCTGCACACTTCGCGATTATGCATGGTAAGCGCGCTTAAAAAGCCGCGCCCACCATGCTTCCGCGGCAAGTACAGCCTCATTACTGACGATCTCGGATGATGCATCCTGTGGGACGTCATTATAGTGCGGACTTTTCTGTCCAGAGCGTTCAGTTCGGTCTGAGTCCACCTGAGCATGCCAAAGGTATACATGAGAACAGGCATGATCCAACCGTTATATGCATGTGTCTTATTAACGCCCGACAAAAGACTGTTAAGCACTTTTGTCAAGCGTGCATAAAACACACCGCAAACTGACCGTTTCATGTCCGCCTCATCGATACCTATGTTCTGTGACATACCCAGGTATCGGTATGTTTCAGCCTCGGATAGGGTCTTTATGTTGATGGGCATAGATAAGTCTATGCCCTCAGAGTTAGCAACCCTACCCCTTTCGCAATGGAGGACCGCACACTTATCCGTCCCCAGCTCCATTCTAATAGAATTTCTAAAATCACAAGTGATGTTTAGCAATTCCATAAGATGAGAGCGACTGGAGGCGAATAACTTGAGATCATCCATATAGAAAAGGTGGGTCACTTTTGTACCTCCTCTCCGAAGCTGAAATCCCCTCCCGGAACCCTCCAGTAAGGTACTAAGAGGGTTCAGAGAGAGGCAGAACCAGATTGGACTCAGACAATCGCCCTGGAAGATACCCCTTCTTATCCTTATGTGGTTCTCCGCAGCCGTCACCCGCTCGCCTAGATGACAAAGGATCGTACTCCACTGCCCCATACACTGCCCGAGGAAGTCTCAAACTCTACAGTCAATCTTGTACAGCTCGAGGACCCTCTTCAGCCATGTATGAGGCACCGAGTCGAATGCCTTTTTGTAGTCTATCCAGGCGACGGAGAGGTTCCGACGGTTGCGTTTGACCACCTTGCCAATGACCGCGTCAATGAGGAGTGGTTCCTTGGTTCCACGACCGCCGCCCCGACATCCATTTTGAGCGCGCGACATCACCTGATTTGAGTTCAGGTGACGAGTGATTCTCGCGCTCAAAATGGATGTCAGTGTCTTGTATATGGTAGGTAGACACGTTATGGGGCGGTATTTGCTCGGGTCTGTGGAATCTCGGTCTTTACCTCGGTCTGACCACAGGCCGCGCCAGAATGCGATAGTGTCGGCCTGATTCGGTGCTGGGCCCGTTCCACGTACCATTGGTCGCTCCAATGATTCATAGAGCCTCTTCTGATCACTCTGGAAGAGACGATTCTGGTTGAACCGTGTCGACCTCTCGGTATATCGCCGAATCCGCTTGCCCCAAGCAGCGATTCTCTGCTTCAGGTCGTCTATGCGCTCCGTCAGTTTTTGCGTTATATCCGGCTGGGACAAACTGATATTTGTCCCAGCAAACGCCATCCTGACGGTGCGCACAATTCTTGGCCTATTATTGCCCGACCTGAAGCTTATCAGCCTGCCGATGAGGGCCCTTGCCTTTGCGATACGGTCCTCAATCCTTCTTCTCCAGGCTGGGATGGCGCTACTTTGTCTAGTAGCGCGTCCAGCCTTGGGAAGTTTGGCGCCAATAATACGGCAAACTGCCAGTGCGGCGCCAAAAAGAATTGAGTCCGTCTCGCAAAGGTCCCGGCTGGCTTCCAAATAGGTCACCAGCATTGGGTTGAGAGCCCTCACGACAGCCCGATTCCGCTTGCTTAGGGGTATACGGGGAAGTCGCGGTCGATTCTCGAGAGGCGTACTGCGCGTTTCCCTAATCGCCTCTTTCACTATGCTCCTCATTTGCTCTAGTTCTGGGGCGACTATTCCATCGTCGCCTGAGTCAACTACAAGGAGATCTACGGCGGCATCTACATGTGCGGGTTGCTCTGCAACTCGTAGAGCCGCATCTCCTGTCGTAGCATTTTCATTCGACAAAGGAATAGCCTCACGTCGTAGCCGTTCGAGTTCGGCGTCATCAAATATTTTTGAGCGCATGATGTACCGAACTCGGTCTGCCAGGTTTTGCTCGGTAACGGTAATAGATGGCTCCAGCTCAGCAAATAGTCGGTGCATCCTAGCCCGATACCCAAAACCTCCAATTTCTCTCCCTTTCGCCCCAAAATACGCCCGCAATGCATTTTTATTCATTTGCATTGACCAACGCATGCGGCGTACTCCACCAGTGGCGGGTGCTGATTGCTGGGCCAACGAAGACCCTGCCAACACCAAGCCAGCTGGTGGGGATGATGGATGCGAGGGGCTGCTGGGTGATCGTGCAGCACCTCGCGGTCGACTGGCGGTTCGCATGCTGCCGCGTCCAGCGCCAGCTCCAGACGCGCCCTGGCGACCTCCAGGCAGCGGCCCTTTGCGCGTATTTCTTAAATCCATCATCCATGAATTGGGCGTCAGTTAACGGGAGACGCCCAGACCCGGCACCGTTTCATGGTGAGGCCATGTGCACAATCGGGCCTTTGCACCTGCAATTTTGCCGAGGCACGGCGCTAACACCTCTTGGCAAGGTGCTGACTGACTGCGTTGACGTAGCAGTTTTGTCACATAACCGTTACGTCAGCGGGCGATGGGGTCGTCACTTCCCTACGCCTTATTATTATTATTATTAATATTTCATTTATTGATTAATTTAACCCTTTTTAAATGTAAGTTTTTTTCTAAATAAAGTCATTGTACCCAACTATGATCAATTGAATTATTATCTCTCCCATAATCGTAATTTAGTACTTACCGCTATCTCTTATTTTGGATTCTTGTGACAATAAAATTGGTCCTAAGATTGTTGTAAGCCCTGAACCTAATGTAGTCATAAATAATATGGCTATAACGATTATATTCGCTTGCTGTGTTGCTATTTTCTTATCTTGCACTGAAACGCCTTCCTTCCATAAAGAGTCAGTAGCCACTCGTACTAGCACTGCCTGAAATAATTTTTCGAATTAGTTTTCTGTTTGTAAATGATAAGGTCTCTACCTCGTTGATATGGTGATCGTTAGTGCGGCTGATGATCTTGTGTTCCTGGGTTCGAATCTCAAGTTGGACCAACTTTAGTAATTTTTTCTGATGAAATTATTAGTTCAAATGAACCGCCGTGTCTCAAGAAGCACGTAAAGCCGCTCTAAAACTTATGTATATATGTAATACTTTACTGCATAAATAGTTAAATCGTTAAAATTATATTGTAATTAGTTAAGGTACTAAACATTACCTGTTACTAATTTATTCCCAAATTTGCCCATACTTCTTTGTAGATATTATCTAATAGCTATTATTTTTATAATGATAATGAACAGTGAAAACAATCAAAACAATGTTAAACAAGCAGTAGCGCGGCTTAAAACTACGCTATTCATGAGCCTAACTTCAATATTTTAACGCTACCTATAAACAAATAGTGGCATGGAAACAGTGATAAATTTTATTCTTAAGCAAATAATGGCTTACACGGCTTACTTTATCTGTGTTCCGCTAATGTTTAGGTAGAATTAAGAATTGCTGCATTGGAAACCACCATTTGTTTGATTTTTTTTACATTCATATACATAAATTGTTAGTGTATATATAAACTCTTACACCTGTCACCAAGTCGGGCAGGCAGAGATTACGGACTTCCATTTGACACGATCCTGACATCATTCCCTAAAAGGTGCGCGACATTTAAAAATGAATGTTTTACAACTTTATTGAAAGAGGTTCTTGTTAATCTGTAGATTATTACAGATTGGTAAAAAAGGCATAATATAACAAGCTCTTTTGTTAAAAATGTTATAGAATGATTTAAGAATCAAAGATCCTGATTTCAATAAACTTAAATATTTACTAGTGTTAGTCACGGGCACTTTTCCATTCTTAAGAGCGTTTTAGAGCAGTGAAAACTACATAATGATCCAATGTATGTTAGCGGAATTCACATACCTTCAATATGTTTTAAAATACCCATCCTGGATGCAGGTTTCCTCACGAAGTGTTCCTTTACCGCCGAGCGGTAAATCGGCACTTAATATTGCAGTTTACAATTTTATAAGTGTTGGCGGGGATAAAACTTGGTTTGCTATTAAATTTAGAGTTTTAGTTTATCTCCTAAGCTACGACACTTGTTTTGACATACATTTAATAAAACAGGAATAATCTAAATAATTTTGAATTAAATCTATAACTTTTAGACGAAGATGCTACTGATATACATACGACAAACAATTATTGTCGTAAAAGCTTTTACAAAAATTTACTTCGCAAATATCCGCGTTATACAAATAAAATGATGTGTCTTACCTAGTATGAAGAAGCACCTCCCGCCCTCCCTCAAATGCGTGCACTATCCCCGTCACCACTAATCCCAGCACCGCTACTTCCAACAGAGGCGAAACACGTGTCGTATTATCGTCAGTGGTGTGTCTTGCCTAGTGTAGTGGTGTTGGAAGTAGCGGTGCTGGGATTAGTGGTGACGGGGATAGTGCACGCGATTGAGGGAGGGCGGGAGGTGCTTCTTCATACTAGGTAAGACACATCATTTTATTTTATAACGCGGATATTTGCGAAGTAAATTTTTGTAAAAGCTTTTATATAATGGATTTCCGCAAAGTAACACCTGATTCTATTAATTAAATTATTGTCGTCTTTTATACATCATATTGCTTCATTTACGCCTTTAAATACGTAAAGGTGGCCCATTATCTTTTGGAGTCTATATCGGAAGATCGCGATACATAGAAAAAGGAAAATTAAACTGCAATATTCTGACTTGTGTTACTAAGATTACGAATACTTATGAAAAGTTTTAGCTTAGGAATTCAGCGCCGGATTTTTAGGTGTTTAGTTTTTGACGTAAGAATAAGCATTTATAGAGTCTGAAACTCTATTAATCCTGCCTTGGATACTGGTCTATATCGGTTAGAATCATGGTATTTACTGATTTGTCAATTTGATTAAATTCGAATAAAAAAAACGTTATTCCTGTTAAGATTGTTATATAGGACTAAAATGAAATAATAAGATGTACAAAGTAGATCTATCAAATTATTCATAGGGATGTCTTTAAGAACTTTCTTGTTGTGTAGTAACAGGTAATATACAATAAGTACGTTTGACTGCTTGGAGCCAATTTGTTTGTAGCGGTTGAATTTGATAAATGATGTCATGTTTCATACTGGTGAAAAAAAAACGGGAATAGCTCAAAAAAATAAACCAAAAATGAAACAACGATTATAATAGAATTAATTAATCGAGATCTAGAATATTGATATGTTTGGTATGTCTGCACACAGATAATTCTGTTAGCGGAACGTAACCCAACGTCCGTGTCGTTATATTCTACCCTCCCAATCTCGACCATTTACCCATTATGTGTACGTGATAACCCTCTATCTATATCCGATTAATTTTCCCCTCGGTAGAGTTACTTACAGCGCTTAAAGCAACGTTGCAGTACTTTTAACTTGATTGAATCTCTGTAAACCTTCTTAAATGTATTTGTAGCGTTAAAACAAAATTATTTTATAAAAATTGAAAAAACGAACAAGGGTTTTGTGAAGACAGAAATTTTATTCATTGGCTAGATAGAAAAAAAATCATAAAGATTACTATTTAAATGTGTACATTGCAGAGATTCCATATTAAACTTATATCATATAATGGAAATCGAAACGTTTTAATACCTACACACCGTACAAGAGAGTGACTTGTGCTTGGCTTTGAAATATACATTTGCAGGTCCATAACAACTCACAGGCCACTGACAGTTTTATAAATTGTTGAAATTTCGATTCCAGTGACGACGACAATGTATGATAAAGCACATTGTCAACGTCATCAATAATAATAATATGTGTATTATTACTCTAATCTCTAAAAAGACTGAGAAAATGTCTTTAAGTGTCTCTCTAATTTGTTTAGTTTGCCTGTTTTTAGTATTTACGTTTTTATTTATTAATTAGTAAATTTGAGAGTGACTAAGTGTACTTGTGCTTGCGTATACGAGTACAATTGGGCGCTATGATCCTATCCTGCGCTAATGGCTAGTCTCCGTTGAGACTGGTCACCTTGATCGAAATTCGGTGTGGGAGACATTATTATTGTTAATATTAATTCTTACATTTTGAAACAAAGTTTATCACATCACTTTCAATCATATTTTGTTTCAAGAGTAGAGAGTTACGAACCAAAAATAATTTTACTGAAGAACGTTATTTCAGCTGTATTACCTACTAAAATATGAAAGTATTTCGTCGCGTAAGATTTCTATAATCAAGTTATTGGGTAAGTAAAATGAAAATTGACAGATTTATTTCTTATTCATATTCCATGTCAAACAGGATTATAAAAAAATATAATTTTGAATTCGGCATGTACTGGTGGCGTAAAAGAAACTACTACCTCATAGAGGCGACAGGGAGAAAGGAATATGTGGTAAATATATTTCATTAATATTTTTTTGAAGTCCGTTTTTACTTTTTATTATACTTAAATTTTTTGACCCTTTCAATGGACTTAGGAATATCACACGCTCAATATAACCAGCCGAATATCGTCCAAAAAAGTAACATAAAATATTTAATCCCCCGCTTTTCCACCCTTAGAAATGGAATTTCTTTTTCATATCAGTATTTTCTTATTCACGCCATATGTAAAAGGCTAAGTAAATTGAGTTACAGTCACTTTAATTAAAACTGAATATTAAAGTTGTCAAAAAATTACTTTGCGTACATCCGCACGATAAAATAAAATGATGTGTCTTACGTAGTTTGAAGAGCACCTCCCCCCTCCCTCAATTGCGTGCACTGTCCCCGTCACCACTAAACTGCACGCAATTGAGGGAGGGCGGGAGGTGCTCTTCAAACTACGTAAGACACATCATTTTATTTTATCGTGCGGATGTACGCAAAGTAATTTTTTGACAATTTTGATATAATGAACTTCCGCAAAGTAACGCCTGATTCTATTAATTATCTTAAAACTGAATAATTTCAGTCGGTCCACAATTTGCAAAAAAAACATAGTGTCATGAAAATTTAAGAGTACTTCTTTTTATTTGAAGTTAGTAAAACGGGCTAAATACGACAAAAATGTTGAAAAAATTAAATTTTTGAATTTTAATTTTTTTTAACGGTGACGTTGCTGAAGCTTATGTATTCACGGTTTTTTATATGTATATTTTTATTTTATTCAAATGAATGTATGAGCACTGCCATCAATATCAGTATTCAATACTGTATGATAAAGTTTATACAAAAGTAGGCAGCATTTTTTTGATTACGTGGGTATTTACAGAACAAGATTTTTACGAATTCATAATATTAGTAGGATTAATAAAAATACTGTTTATACTTTTACGTATAAGTCTTTTACTCTGTGGCACTTCGTTGTTATTAAAAGGAGTTATATTAGAAAATACACTACTTATATGTAAGTTCTCGATAGTCACTAAGACGTCTAGAGACGTCTAAGCCTCTATCTGACAACACTTGTATCATTTTAGTGTATCCATTGTGTGTCAGACCTTCGACGTGTATCATTTTCACTAGTGTGGACACAAAATGATACGTGATTATGTTATACGCCATACCCCGATACACCCCGATCTGTATATAACCGCGTATCTGATACATGTCGTATTGGATACGTGTATTATGATCGGCAGAACGATCGTAGTATGGACGCATTTTGATACTGTTTCACGATACGTTTAAGCCATTTGATACATGTATCATGATACATCGCGATTCATTTCGAGGCGGTGTATTATGACGCATTATGACGTTTTATGATACGCAATGCCGATAAACGATCTAGAAAAGTTTGAGGTTTTAGTATTTTCCACTTATATGTTGAGAATGTAAATCAAGCAGCAATGCTCTTCCGCCATATAGGTTTCGGTTTCTAAACAGTTCTAGCTGCCACCAACGACGTCTCTGTGTTTTTTTAT